ACTTTTAAATTCTTCAAAATATTTTTAACGCAAAGATCTTCTGAGCATAAAAGATGAAACTCAATCGTTAGGAATTAATTTATCAACGAATTTATTTAAAAATTAAAAAATAATAAATTAAAAATAATTATATTTTATCCAATTCTTCTTTCTTTTCGTATAAGAGTGCTGAAAATGTATGTTATTTAAAATTTATGAAAAAAATATTATAAGGTTTGAATTTTTATTAACCATACTCAAATTGTAGGATAAACATAGAAATATGTAAAATGCATATATGTATCATATATAAACGTACATATATGTATATCACTGAATTTCATTTTTGTTTTTTCCTTATTGCAGCATCATCCATACAAAAGTATATGTTATATGTACATATGTGTGTATGTGGTACATACATCTATGAGCAAGTTATTGGTGAAAATAATTTTATGTTGGCTGGAAATTTATTATAAAAAATTTTGGTTATTTTATTTTTTTTGCAATTAATATTCAAATTAAGACAATTTATATTCCCCATTCCTGAATTCAGATTGAGTTTCTAAATGATATTTAAATACATATATGTATGTACATATTAATACCCATATAATGTACAATACTTTCAAATAAACAATGTATATATGTATACATGTACGTATGAGTATAAATGCGCATATGTAAACCAAAAAGATATTTAAATACAATTAATATGTGATGCAATAGCAGCCAGTCACTGAATTAAAATTTCAGATTATCTAATAGATAAAGTTTATAATGGACCAGAGTCTAGAAAATTTCAAAAATATATTTGTTAGCCGGTTGGTTGGTTTATTCGTGATGGACATGAAAGAAATTGACTTATACTCATTAAGTTTATTCAGATAGAAATAATAGCACCCAGAGTAATATGAGCATTAAATACAAAGTTAAATAATAAATATAATAATAGCATCAAAAAATAATAAGGAAAAACCTTCAACACTTCACTTCACTTAACTCGGATATTTGTATAAGTATCGATCCAATATTTTCATTTTTGATCAGATATAGAAATGCACATAGTCATTAAATATATATATATATTATTATGATATAATTTTCCAACATCACTGAACAACAGTTCATTTAATATACGCTTTACCTTTCTAATTTGGTTAAAACTAATTTCATATAAGTAAAAGAGAAGGAGGAATGTTTACTTTTATCTTTAACATTTCTGCGTTTCTCTCTTTCTCATTTCTACATCAGTGGTTGCTAATAGAGGCGGTTCCATGCTCTGACGTCACCGAAAAGATCTGTAAAAGCGTTTTATCAACCAAGAATCGGTAAATATAATGTTCATATTTGCTGTCAATAATGTTTGTTATAGATTGTATTTACATACATACATATATGTGTGTAAGTTCACATTATTAATCAACATAAGATGATAATTAACATAAAATTACCAACAAATAATTTTTTTTCCTTGTACTTCACATTAAACCCGTATTATTATTAATTAAAAATAATAGATTTATACCAGAACAAATTGCGAACCGGACGGTTACATTTCTGTGAAATGAATACTTTTTTTTATTGAAAAGAGGTTGACGAATCTCTGTGGTATCCTGTTAACAGATTTGTGTTGTTCGAATGATAAATTACCTGATTTTGCGTTATTTTGGCATAATTGTTTTTTTTTGTAGTGTACGTGTTAAAAATTATAGAAAGATAAAGATTGGTGGACCTAAACTGTAATCAAACCTATGAATAATTATATAGTACTAATAGTGGACTCTAACCCAATCTAAAACGCATCTGGATGATCATAAACTGCCAAAAGTGTTTTTGTGTTTACATTACATCCAGGACGTGAAGGAAGGCATGTCCTAGTTCGCTTTAGTCTTTTCGTCCGAACCCTCTCCTCTATAAGACGAGAGGCCTCGACATTTATATGCTGTTCACAGTTTACAGTCCTTTATTTCTCACTTACTTGGAAGACATCCACATCCCTATGGATGACACTATTACGCATATGCATGGCAACACTCATCATATTATGAACGACCTTGTTATGGAAAATTTGTATTTGTTCGGTGTGTGTTTACTTAGCACAACCCCATAGCCGCAAGCTATACGTCCATATAGGCTTTATCCTTAACATAAGTTTATTGAATAAGTCATACCGATGTATTTCGCTGTGTTTTCGATTGATACTATAACACTATTCAGATTCAATTGTGATGGGTTTACTAAATTTTTCTTTGTGAAATATACATGTACAGATTTACTTTCATTTAGCTTTATTTTCCATTTACTTACCTATTTATCTATACTGTTACTTACTTCCTGTAATTTTTTTGTCGATTCTTCAACATTAGATCCTGTTTCGCTCCTGTTTGATTCGAAAAAGCCTGTTAAATAAAAAAGATTCAAGTAACTCTACGAATTGCAAAGGTACCAACTTCTTAAGTTTAAATAATAAACCGTCGTAACAAATCTTTTCGAACACCTGGAACGTGCAGAAATATTGTCGAACATATTAAATACCTACATCTTTTTTTATGTTACATCTTGGTAGACAATATACTAAACCAACATAGAAGTTTTTCTTAGTAGACTCAATTATCACCATAACAAGTTGAACCTTCTCCATCTCTATTTTGGATTCCTCATTACGCTTTATGGTTTCCTTATTTAAAATACCACCATCTCCTCTTGAATAGTTATCAGGGTGAATTGTCCTATAGCGCAATTCGGAACATCCAAATCTTTTCCCAAGTGTGTTTCTGATAACACACATACATCGATACTTTTAGTTGTAAGAAAAACCTCCAATTCGGACTTTTTTACTTAGAACGCATCAATTTCTATTTTATTAACTTAAATTTTTCAGAAATCGCTTCGGGCTTGCTATATATACGTTAGTATATCTATTTTCACAGTACTTATTCTCACTGAGATTTCGTCAATAACTTGTAGCATGTTTTGCACCATTTACATTTGGTACCTTATTTGATGTAAAGAGTGCTGACAAATGCTATTAAAATTAAAAAAAAAAACTAAAACTAGGTAGAGTTGACCCGGTCAACTATGTGGTACCCGTGCGAATTCAAGATTTTAAGTGCTCTGCGCCTATTGCTAAACTGTTGCATAAGTACTCCTTGTTTTTTCCTGGTTAATTCTCCCTGAATCTGACAGCACAGCTGGCCATATCACTTATTTTTACTAATTTTATCTAACTGCTAAATAAAACTATACAAGCGTTCAGTAGCTGTATTGCTCAATAAGTCAAATTAACCTTGGAAGTGCTTTTAGATATAGACTCTCAATTTTTTTAAAGCAGGTATGTTAAAGAGTGTTGAAACCAGTGTGAATCTACTGCGGCGTTTGCCACATATTCAAAAAACAAACTTTTTAAGCGGAACTTTTTATATTTGATACTCGTTTAATTTACTTATACTTGTAAACAGTAGACCAGTTAAGGAAATTGCAAATTTTCCGAATATTCTAATCAGAATAAATTATTAAAAACTGAATTTGAATAAAGATTTTTAGATTTTAATAATAGATGTCAAACTGAATTTAACCTATTTGCTTTTCCATTTTCTGTTGATATTGAAACACTTAATGCAAATTAAATTTTAAAATCGAAATGCTTTGCGATTTTGTACTCGTATTAAAAGAAAAATTTAGATAAGTGAAAATTACAAAATTTTATAAATATTTACCTATATTTCCCAATATTTGACTCAGCGTGTTTTGGCCATCTTCAGAAGCACATATTTTTGTGAACTATTGTTTTGGATATTAAAAAATTATAAAACGGCTGAAAGATCAAGATTGACAAATCAGACTGTTCAATCAATATTAAAAATTACATTTGACAATTAAATTCAGTCAAATTTTGAAGATTTAGTAACAGAAAAATTTTGCTAAATTTCTTCAAAAAAGTAATTTTATATTTTTTTGTATGACTGTATTATTTGTATGTTTTATTTTAAAAATTTGAGCATAATATAAGAGTTTAAGGGTTTTTATTGTGCGGCCCGAACCATTGTACGAAAACTCTAAAATGGCCCACGATGATAAATGAAAAAATATGCTTTAATATTACTAAATGGAAAATAATCCGGCTTGGGTCTTATTGATTTTCCTAAGTGGAACTTGGGAAACGCTAATGTTCAAAGTATGACTTGTTAAACGGAAGTAGATAGATGTTCAATTTTGGTCCTAAACCTAAATGTGCTTCGAATTGTATGACTGTATTATTTGTATGTTTTATTTTAAAAATTTGAGCATAATATAAGAGTTTAAGGGTTTTTATTGTGCGGCCCGAACCAATGTACGAAAACTCTAAAATGGCCCACGATGATAAATGAAAAAATATGCTTTAATATTACTAAATGGAAAAGAATCCGGCTTGGGTCTTATTGATTTTCCTAAGTGGAACTTGGGAAACGCTAATGTTCAAAGTATGACTTGTTAAACAGAAGTAGATAGATGTTCAATTTTGGTCCTAAAACTAAATGTGCTTCGAAGGCAAATGAGTTTCAAGAACCTATGTATAATGCTGATATGGTGAAAAGTAACTTTAAACACAGTTCACAAAAGTTGAAGTAGATCACTTAGAGTTCAGTTATTAGCTCCGCTATCTTAAAAAATTTATTCAAAAGAAAATTAAAAATTCAATGTACGTAAAAAACAACCTATAGAGTCTCCAGAAAAAACCTTCCGAAAAATTGAAAATTTTATTATACAAACGAGAATAGGTAGAATTGTCAGTGTCAACTTTGTGATACGCGTGCGAATGAACGATTTTAAGTGCTGTATTTTAATTACCACACTGTTTCACAAATTATACTATATCAAGGAAATTTTGCTGTATATAATGACCATATTACCATTAGATTACTTAAACCATATATACGTTAGATTACTTTAAACAGAACTAGTTTGTTTATTAGGATGGTTAAAACTTACTACCCGGTAAATAACAAAAAGTAAACATTTGAATATATAATTATAAAATATTTATTTGATTACAATTATACATAAATACTTATACATTTATGCATATGTTTCAGTAGGCAGCATACAAATAAAAATAATATTTTATTAGTTTTCTCTAATCAGCTTCATCTAGAAATTCATTTAAAGCATTTAGGACTGTCAATTTAAATTTTCTTTTCTTTTTTTCTGTTAATTTTGAGTAATCTTTTTCGATACTTTGAAAAAATAGGTCATCTGGATTTTGATTTAATTGAGCCGTTTGAGACTCAAAAAAACATGTGACTGACTTAAAAAGTTTATCAAATTCTTCTGAATATGAGCGTTTTATCTTCTTCATTGACTTTGAAGACATTTCCGACGTTTTTTGTTGGTCACAATTGCTAAATATTTCATCTAACTCATCAAGTCTATGGTTAAATCCTGAAGAGCTTTTGCCATGTTTCCTTTTTCCCTCACTTGCACTCATTGATACGTCATCTATTTCAAAATCATCCCGTGAAAGACGCTCATGTTTTAAGCTATCTAAATCTGATTTCGTGTCGCTTGAATTACCAAAATTATCTAGCAAACTCTTCCTGAAAAGAAATTATGGGTAAAGTAAATATATATTTGTATATACTTGTTATATTCTTAATTTAACTAAATAAAAACAGTCGTTGTAATTATAAAAATAAATATAATCTTGCCTTTTAGATCTATGCAAAATGTGTTTTTCTAAATAGCTCATATGATCTTCCAAGTACCATTTAACTCTGGTTCTGTTTGGATTTTCTAATTTTGCTTTTATACATCTAGCATAAGAATTACGCATAGAAGCCCACTTTGATCTAAATTCTTCAACTACAAATGGATGAATTTAAAAAATAAATTAAAAGTGAGGTGGTTTTATCTAAGTTATGAAAAGGTAGGTAAAATAAAAGATACGTTTCTAAGGTATCAAGAATTTCATGTTTAAAACAATCACAATACCAAATAAATTTTCAATATTATTATTTAAAACTTTTAAATAATAGGTATAAAAATAAAGGTATAAAAATAAAGCAACGAGGTATAAGCAATAAGGCAACAACAAATAAAGTGATTCACATAAATATTAGGAGCCATATACCTGTGGGTAGGGGAACGAAAACGAGTAAAATTTTTGTTCGGAACATATTGTTGAATCTAAACGGCTTCCGAGCTAAAGCGATTTTAAGAATTTTTAATTAGGAGCCATATACCGGTGGGTAGGGGAACGAAAATAAGTAAAATTTTTGTTTGGAACATAATCTGAAAGGTTTCCGAGCTAAATCGATTTTAAGAATTTTTTAGGACAAGATTGAAGTAAAAAAACAAAATCCCTAATTTATGTCAAAAAATGTATTGACAATAACTAATTATAAATTTAAAAATTTTTTTAACATTATTTGTCTTTTTAAGATTTATTTTTATTGTCTTTACATTACAATGATTTTTCTTTTATTTAACATTCAATTCTTTTAAATCGTTTCGCTTTTATAATATGAATACGCCATTCCTGTCACATTTTACTAGATTAAACTACAGAAATGGTTATGTGCGCCTTTAAAATGCTTATTATTTTTTCCTATCATTTGTATACAAAAATAATGCTTTCCTACGCCTTTAAATATGCATTATAAAAAGATAAGTTGACATCTATTGCGTACCTTTTCCCTCTCCTAAAAACTCCATGTGTATAAAAATGAAAATAAGAAGGTATAGTGCTTAACTCTTTTAGCTAAGGGAATTTTGTGTATACAAACTTAGGTAAGTGATTGCATTAGTTGATGTAAACACAGAGTAAGTAGATGTAGTTCTAAAAAATAGATGTACTTTGGTTAAAGCATTGTTATTGATTCTTGAAATGATATTTTTGCGACAGAAAAAGAATACATATGTGCATGTACATTTGTGTACATACGTGTATATATGCATATATGTATATCGTGAATTTATTATAAATATATGTACATACAAAAGAGTACAATCGTAGGGTACGCAAAAAGTACAACTGTAGAATATTTATACATACCATTTATAAATTTTATATTTCGAAAGTACAAAAGAAAGTTGAACTACAAAAAATGGAAATAAAATATGGCAACTCATATACATTTCACGTTTAAGTAGCTTAATACGTTATTCTTTTCTATGAAATTTAAAAAACCTAACTAAATCCTGTGGTGTCCGATTTTAAAACTTGCTACGATTAACTGCTATGATTTTTGAATTTCTGGGGTTATAGAGCGGACAAATAAGATTTGAAATAATGGATAAGCAAAAAATTATATAATATGCACGAACAGTTATTTTGATATGTAAATAATTTACAAAGGACAATTCAGGATCTTGTTTTAGTACAATTAATTTTAACTCAATATCAACATTGATATAAATATGTAACTTACCGCTAACACCCAATTTTCCTGCTAATTCTTTCCATATTTTACTATGAAGGGGACGATTAGAATAATCTGGATTTTCTGGATCGTATAGTTCTGGTTTTGCTTTGATTAATTTGCAAATTAAACGAGAATTATCTATTGGCTTAGCGTAATTCATTTTTTTTATTATTTATATAAATTTCTACACAATTTAACCAGTACTTGATTGAAACACTAATAGTTTAACCAAATCAACAAAAAGGGCAGCTATAATCACTTTCAACTTCCTTGTAATGGTTATTCCAGCACGAAGAACAAACGAAAACTGACAACTTTTTTTTTTAAAGCGAATAATTGTTTTATATGTGTTGTGTGTAGTGTACAATAGCAGTATCATTTGTTAATGAATGTCAAATAGATATAGCAATGTTATTTAACACATCGCCATGCAATACAATACATTTACACTACAATGTTTGAATAGAAAAGATATTGTAAAACGTATATGTACATCTTATCAAAATATACTTCAAATTCAACGGTTAACGTCAGTCGGAACAGTGCTGCCATTATATTTTTCTACACAGCCATTCTACTGTCAGATTTTCTTTAATAGCATAATATTGTAATATTATATGAAGCTCAGTTCCACCTGAAAAATGGAATTGCTAAATTAAAATTATGAAAACAATTTCAAATAAAGTCGCCCTCTTACTAACTCTAAAACTATTCTAAAATAATTGAAATCTAAGAAACAGAATTATCGAGTTCAAAAATAAAAGAATAAATATGACACGTTATTTATTTAATGTTAACATTCTAAATTATAAATTTATATAAAGTAAGTGCTCAAAAAACTGAATGAAAGGGAAAAAGAATAAGAGTAAAACAAATCTTGTAAAAGTAAGCAATGAGATATTTTTATGAAAAAATTTATTGCTTTAAACATAAAATTAGCTGAACGAATTTTCATAATGAACATATGCCAAGTGGTAACACTGGCATGAATAGAATGAAAAAAAATGAGAAATTTCATGCTCTCTAAAAATCCAACTAACACACGTTGAATTAACATCTGTATGCAACAAACTAAAAACTTCTGTACATCAGCGAAAAACAAAAACAGTTTATTTGCAATCATCATGATGACTTAACATTAACAATAAGGTTTTGTTAAGGCATATTACAAGTTTGTTAACGTTCAATTTTGTTTGTGAATTGAGTGTAATATTTTTATATTTAAATACATGTTCTCCATCGCATTTATTGCTTTTTACACATACATTTATAGACGCACCTATGTAAACGAAATTTTGCAGCTGTATTTCACTAATGAACCACAGTTATAAAATTAGAACAATGGCGTAGTGCACTGTTGCCGTTTATGGTAGAAAGTTTTTGACTAAGCTAAGTGGCCTTAAAATCTATCCTATAATCTTAACATTCTAATATATTTCACATTATTTTTCTACAATTTATATTTCCTCAACATAATACAAATAGGAATATCATAATTTACAAGTAAATCATATGTTGTATGTATACACATACATACATAATGTACATATACATATGTATAATTTGAACATAAACGCAAAAATAGCAATATCAAAATATTTTAATTTTTTATACTCAAAAAGCTTGGAGAAACTCAAGTAAAACTTGTATGCTTGTGTATAACAGTTGCTTTATAATCAAATGTATGTATATATAAATCAATTTAAAAAACCCACAATTGCTTATATGATAGTCTATTCTTTTACTTATACATTATTTAAGAATGAAGCATACATTTCGGGGTAAAAATAAAACAATTTTCTAAAAGTGATTTCAATGTAGCTGTGCATTATTTTTGAAGTAAAAATAAGATATTTTTGTATATCCTTAAAATAAGGAATGTGAACAGAAGTTCTACCTGGCAACATTGCCCTATTGCAATAAATGTATTGGGAGAACAAAATGAAACGAGAGAATTTTTTATTTATTTATGAATGTGTTGTAAGGCAATGGAAATTGGTAATACAAATTATGATAAAGTAAACACATGTTTGTATTTGTGCCACTATATCATTTTTATATATTAGAATTCGCAAAGCAACAAGAAAGAATTATGAAGCATTTTTATCTACAAAACACTAAAAACTTAAATGAAATTAATAAGAAATAGCGTAATACAAAACAACTGCAAACACAAAGCAGAAAAATTTCTTTATTGCTTTAGTTTGGAATGTATCACAGACGAGTATGTATACATAATACGACATTTTTGTATTGTTTCATTTATAATTTTGAAGTGTTGATATAATTTTAATTTATTGTTTGTATAGTGTTTGTGTTTTTGTAGTTTAACTCGATTATTCAACAAAATTTATAAAATTTTTGTGTTTTAAATTTATGTACATACATACGTTATGTATGTTGGTACTTTCAAAGAATTAATTTTGTGTACATTTTTAATATTACTTAAGTTTCCGGATGTTATTTAAAATTTATTAAAACAATAAGGTTAGTAATTCATATTGAGTTTGAGAAAGTGATATGATAATATGTACATATGAAGGTAATAAATAAAATCATTATTACTTAGATAATTATATATGCATGTGTGTGTACATATATATATGTGGTATAGGAACTTATACATACATATGTATGTATATTGCACTTTGTACATACAAAAAACAACAAAAACGTTATTTTTCGAATGTTTATGTGAAAATGTATGTATTTACATGAATTCAGTGTCATTCATTCATTCGACATTTTCAAATTTTATTTTACGTATGTACATATGTATGTTTACATACATTATGAAAACTAGTTTTTTCTGAAATTTAATAATATTTTATTGATAACACTCGCAGTCATCTGTATGTGCACACTATACTCACAGTCGTGTACATTATAGGAGGAGTGTATCACTTCAAATGATGCTGTAAAGTGTGCGGGTATACACTTGAAAGTCTGAATGTACTTAAGTATATAAACTTCAGACTTTTTATTATTATTAAGTACATATTAAAAATTACGTATAGTAAATGCCAAAGTATCAAAGTTTTACCCATTTTCGACCCTCTAACCAATGGTATATGTTGTTGTATACCTTTTTGAATCACCCGGCATACACGCGTGTCGGAAATATATTCCATAAAGTAAAAATTAGAAACTCAACTTGAAATCATTTTTACATTTTTACTATGTATGTCATTTTTAACATTTCAAGCCAACATTTTTAACATTGACTTGAGTACAATTTTTCATTGACTTGTTTTTATCACAATAACAAAAATCTGGTTTGGTCAGCAAGCACAACCGACCGCAATTTGTATTGTCTAGTTAAGTGAAAGTGTTGAAGAATGATATGTTAAAAAATATAAATTTGGCCTCTAGTTCGGTTTCCGAGCTCTGTTCGTTCCAAAAATTTATATTTTAAATAATTTAATTCTCCAAATTGAAATATTAAATTTCAAGGAAATTGGTTGATTATTTCATATTCAATATTATAAAATAAAAAATAATTACATATAAAAATAAAAAAAAATATTAACTATTTGTTTACTCTAAATGTACTGAAATCTTAAACAACTTGCAAAAATCTATAGTTTTCAAGCCATTGAAACTATTAGGTTAACCGAAGTCTGTCAAACAGTAACATTGCAAAGCTTGTATATGAAGAGTCACTTTGTATTTTTGTATATTATTATATTATTAAAAAAATTTTAATGTTCCAAATTATAAATTTCTCTTAAACTTTACTTTTTGTGGTTTCATTGATATTGTTTTTATAAGTCGGATAAGAATGGAAAAATTATATTTTTTGTATGAAATAAGAATCTACAAAAGAGTCCCTTGAGCCTAAATAATGGTGGTAAAGCAAATTCTATGTTAGATGAAAATTTTATATTTAAGTTCACAAAAAAAAGATGGTTCAGGTAGCCTTCATGCAATTCAAAAAGTTTTTTTTAAATATTTCAAGAACAACTATTGATATCAAATTTTGTATAGGGAAAAGACGCAAAAAATTAAAAATTTGAAATATTTCAGTAGTACATACATACATATGTACATATATAATAATCAATATAAAACGGAATTGTGAAATATGAACTTTTAAATTGTTATACACAATTAGATTTTGATATTAAGAATGTGATATGATTGTGTTTAAAGGGTAGTAGATATGCATTCGGTTCGTATGTATTTTATAAGGTAATTTGGATAAATGTTGTGATATATGTACATATGTATATTTAACATACAACACAAAAGTTGAAAGCATAGTTGGTTAATTCACATGTTTTGATAAAATTACAGATTTTGCATGCAAAAGTATATTATTCAACATTTTTATTGTACCTACACATACTTAGTATTTTTGTGGACAATTACCGACCGTATTGTGTAAACAATAGGTAGGTTATGTGATGGCAACAAATTTTGCATATCGAGTTTTCGGTGGGAACGTACTTCTCCATAGTAGGGAAGTGTAAATAAACTATTTTTAGCAACCTGTCGGTCTGTCGGTCTGTCGGTCTGTCCGTCTGTCGGTCTGTGTGTCCACGCGTGTATCTCAAGTTCGGCTGAACCGATTTTGATGAAATTTTATATGTAAGTTTATTTCCAACATGGCACGGATCGATCAACTTATGGTATATATCAGGCCTCGGGAACTGCACTTTTTAGCGGGCCTGTTTTACATTTTTGAGCATATTGAAGAACATATTCAACCGATTTACTTGAAATTTCATATATAAGTTTTGCTCTACCGGCGATGAAACCTCCTAACTTTTGGAAGAAATCAGACGTCAGCAACAGGACGTTTACTACGGGCCAAATATACATTTTTGTGTATATAAAGAGAAATAATCAACCGATTTCATTGAAATTTAATATATAAATTCCTCGTATGAAAACTATGAACATATAAATTTTTTGGAAAGATCAGGGCTCGAAAACTGATTTGCGGGCCGATTTTACATTTTTCACCATTTTGAAGAAAATATTCAACCGATTTACTTGAAATTTCATATATGAGCTTTGTTTGACCGTCCTTGAAAATTCCTAGCTTTTGGAACAAATCAGGCATCGGCAACTGGACGTTTACTACGGGCCAAATATACATTTTTGTGTATATAAAAAGAAATAATCAACCGATTTCATTGAAATTTGATATTTGAGTTCCTCGTATTAAAACAATGAACATGTAAATTTTTTGGAAAGATCAGGGCTCGAAAACTGATCTGCGGGCCGATTTTACATTTTTCCCCATATATACGGAACGAATTGATGGAGTTTCTTGAAATTTGATATTTGAGTTCTGGTTGTTACCAAAACTAACTGGCGAGCATTTCAGGGAATTCGGGTAGCACAAAGCGAAACTCTACTAAGAGCCAAATTTACATTTTTCTAGGTATGTTAACTATAAGCTTACTAATGTCCTAAAAATTGGAAAGAAGTATTTAACAGACATTTTTATAATATTCTGTAACACTTTCACTTAACTAGACAATACACATTGCGGTCGGTTATGTGCTGACCACATCAGATTTTTTTTGTATTGTGAACATAATATAATATTTTCGTTTGAGTTCTCAGCTTAAGAATACTTTTGAATGATATATAGAGTTTTTCTCATAAGATCGCAAATAATTTCAGGAATGATTCTTTGATCAATTTCCAGCAAAAAATTGTATGCTTGGAGAGGTGCAGATATATTCATGTTCAAGTTACGGCTAGTTGAAAAAAAAATTCACCATTTGATTAATACATTTAACACTGGCAAAACTATGAGAGACGGAGAAAAATGTTATTTGGGTTAACTACTCGTATTAGATCTCATCTACGCAAATTTTCGAAAAACACTTTGAATTTACTTACATACACATGTATTAAAATGAAATAAACTTTTCACTAAGTGTTTTGTTTTAATCTTTTAAGTACGATGTTTTTACTATTAAACGACGTATTTATCATTATTCCTATGTTTTACAGATTGAAAAACTTACATATTTATACATACATAAAAACCGTGTTGCTAATTACGATAACGCAGAATAACTTTAACTTGATAATACGAGTATGGATGCTTCAGTAAAAGTAATACTGTTGGTGAAATCCAGACCAGAATTATATGATGTAAACCATCCGGATTATGGAAATAAGCGCCATCACACAATCGTGTGGAAACAACTTGCAGGAAAAATGGGCGTAAAAGGTAAATTATGTTATTTAATGAAATTAAGTTCCGTAAAGTTAACGTATAATATTAAAGAATTTCGAATTTTATTCACAGTTATTTCGGGTTTGATAAGGCAAACAATAATCACCCATATCACTTTGGGGTGATGGCATATTATTGAAAAAATTTCGTTTTGGAATTTCGGAATTCATTTTATTCAGAAATTTACAAGATTTTCAAATAAAAACCCACCACGTTAGTCAAGTGATGCGACTAGCAGAAAATGTGTGAATATTTGCTAAATATGTAAATAAAAATAATTAGGAGCTCATAACTTATTAGGTATTAAATTTGAAAATATTAATTAATTAATAATAAAAACTAATTAATCAAGATAATTAAGATCAAGACATTATGTTTACAAAAATTTTTTGGGTTGAACTACCAAAATTTGTTTAGCGTTAATTTTGTGTAGAAAATTTTAAATTATTAAAATTTTGTTTCAACCTTTGTATTACTATAAATTAAGCAAGCAATTGCCGATTAAGGAGAAGTAATAGACTAGAATATAACTAAAAAAAAAGTTAAATCGAGAACGAAATTGCAAAACTTAGAAGCATGGGAAAGAGTAAGATTCGTGATTTTATAAATACATAGTTATTTTTCTTCCTAACAAGAACAAAAGGTAATTAAAACAAATTGGGTTGAATTAAAATATTACTCGGCAATGATAAAGTTAAAGATTTATTTAAAGAAAAACTAGCCCAAAATCGGTATGATCCTTTATGAAATGGACCTAAGTAGTAGGGTAGGTCTTAAAAAGCTGCAGGACCGTGAATCCACATGAAAATCATTTTATAGATTTGTAGAATTGTCTTTTTTGTATGACGAAAAAGGAGATTGTTGTTACAATTTAAGGTAGTTGTGCAAATTGAAAAATTAATTAAATTTTTACAAAATTTACGCTCGTTTTATATTTACAAATCCTCATTTGACTACTAGTTGACCGCTAGTATGCACTGAAGATATATTCATAAAGGAAAGTTGTGCACATTTTGAATTTACAAAAACGAAATAATATACATTTTTTACAGCATGGCTATGAATTTTTCTAGCAGTCAGTTGTTGGAAAATACACGTGAGAAGTGCTTTCTGATATAAGTTTCCCGCGTAATCAGTTTTACCTGTGCAAAATGAAATTCTACCATAGTTAATTGCTAGCGATGAATTTTTCACACCTTATTTTTTATCTTATAGTAATTATGTTTGTAGTACTAATATTTCATATTAGTTTCTATTGTGTAATAAACTTCATCGTTCCTTAAAAATTTAGTTTTCCTAAGCAAAAATTTTGAAGAACCGTTTCCATTATATTTTATGGTTTTCCAATATTTGCATCATTGAATTCCATAATTTAGAAATATGGTTGTAAAAATCAAACATGAAGTATTGTTCTTAAGCAAAAAAAATCTCATTTCGGTTTAAGTTGAATTGATTAAACCCGCTCTATTTTAGTACGGAACTCAAAAATACTTTGCTTTTTTTAATTTCATTCACAAGTAATTTTTTAATAAATCTCTTTTAGTTCAACATTTAAAAGCAAAGTGGAACTCACTCAGAAATTCTTACGCTAGAACTATCCGTCAAGAAATACTAAACCCTAATGCGCCAGAAAAGAGTTGGTATTTAAAGTCTTGCATGAGTTTTTTGAAACCGCACGTTGCACATAAAATTAAAAGGTAAGAACATCTGTTTTCATATTATATACTGTATATCATACATATATGCAGATTCTTATGTACATATATGTAAGTATGTATATTCCAGCATCCAAAATATGGCATGAAAAATTGTGGATACGTATATCGTTCAATTAAAGGAATAGAATCTAAAATTGCATAAGTTAAAATATAAATTCTGATAAATCATATTTTTATTACGTATAAAAAATGAAATGAAAATTTCTCGTAAAAAAAATGAAATTATTCCACATTATCTATCCTAAACCACATTACCTGTACTTAATTTGACGTATCTAATGCCCGTTCAAACAGGTTTAATTTTATATATCAAACATTTTTATAGCTTTTGTCGTTAGCTTAGAAGTTATCAATAGAAAATAAGTACGACAAATTCAAAAAATTTTTTTTCCCAATGGTTGATAATTTTTCCGAAATATAATTTTTTTTTTTTTTTTTTATTGGTGTGAAAATAAAACTTCCTTTTATTCGGAATAAAATACTTTTTATTTTTCGCTAATATATTTCGTGCGCTACATACGCACTTTATCAAAGCTGATTTTCTTCTGACAAATTTTTTCAAAGTTTCTTTTTAAAAATGTCATAAATGACATTTGAAAATATCATGAATAAAGTGATTTCTATCATCATTTTAAAAACTCTACTTGGCAATTTAAAAAAGTCATTTACATTAAAAATTGAGCCGCGATAATTATTTTTAAAAATCAGATAAAAAAATGATAACGACTCGAGGTAAGTGGTTTTTTTTTAATTTGTATATTTAGAAAGGAATATTTATAGCTTCTTATTTATAGTGAAAACTTTTAATTACAAATAAATTATTACTTTCTTATAACTCTTGATTACAATATAAAATTTTATTTGAATTTAAAAATAAGAAATTACGTTTTGCAAAAGTGATTAATTTCTATGGTATTCGACTCTAGAGAATTTCTAGAGATAAGAGTTATGTAATGACAGAGTCACAAACGACTGTAGTATGCAAAAGCCATTTAATAGTCATGTGACATGTTTAAAAAGGGTTATAGTCTTCACGTTCTTTTGTATTGTATTTATAACTATATTATTATTTGGAAACTACTTTCCCTTTGATATTTCTGCTGGATTTTGGATGATGTGAATATTTTGCATATACTGATTTCTTCTTTTCTTTTGTTTATATAGATCACAATATTTAGAAAAAATTAGAAACGGCGAATTATTAGATGACGATGATAGCCAAAATACAGACTTTAATGATATAGATGAGTCTACAAATATGGATGAAGAGAAAGATGATGAAATTATTGTAAATTCTCCATTGCATAACAACAACGAGTTTGAAGATGAGCACATAGAAATTGAAAATCAACCAATTGATTATATAGAGTCTAGCTCACAAGCATTAACTACAGTTCACGATTTTACTATAAATGAAGATAAAACTAAAGATCGGTCTAAAAAAACTAAAGAACATAACTTGGATAACAAAAATTTGACTGTACAAGAAAATCGAAATTTGTTGAAAAAAAAAAGTACAGATAAGAATATCACGGAAAGCGTTGATAAAACTCCAGAAATTTCTTTTAACATTCGTCAAGACGATGATCAAGAGTTAAATAAGAAAGTCACATTAAAGCCAACAAAAATTAAAAAGATCAGATCCAAAAATTTTGACCAAATTTTAGAGCTATTGGGTAGATATTGCACCGAACATATGACTACAGCTTATGAAGTCGAATCTGATAGTTTATTTTTTCAAAGTATATTAAGCGATTTTCAAAAATTATCTGACAAAAAAAAAAGGAAATTTAAAACACGAGTTTTAAGCGAATTAAATGATTTGTTAGACGAAACTGAGTCAGAAAACGTTCCAAAAAATATAATTTCCAACTGTCAGTAATATTATGTAATTGTTGAATCCTGTAAAAATAAACTATTTTGCGTAATAAATTTTAATTTTGAAAGTTTTCGTTCTAATTATTACACAATATTGATTACATTATGTATGTATGAATAAATTTAGTATTTTGGAGCACAACTATTATCATCTTATTTCCAAAAAAAAAAAATTTGAAAAAAATGCCTGTTAATCTCACTCTGCCCAAAAATTACAAAATTTCTGTTTCTTTAAAAAATTCCTATTTCCTCGACAGTACTCGTATGAGTTCAAACAAACTCTTATAAAACCAAGTGAACTCCTGTTACTGTAATCTTTCTCTGATTTAAAACTATGGATGTATACTCGTCTGTCTTAATTAAATTCCATGTTATTCCATGTTCAAATTTATCAAAATTCCATCTAAATTTATGATTTTTTCGAAAAGGTACTCGTATTATAAATATTTCTTATCGTGTCTAACGCTAAGAAAGTATGTTTTTGATCAGGTGTCGAATAAACATAACAAACATAATGGTCCATTTCATGGATTAATTGCCTGAGCTATGGTAAATAATTATATTTTTTCTGGCACCGTCAGCTTTGTGCGGTGCGGTTTTCAATTTACTGTCAGCTTTGCATGGTGGCAAATTATTTTTTAATATTTAAGGCTTGTAAAATTCCACTTACGAAAAGAAAAACGATATCAAAAATTAAAAAAAAAACGTTTTTCAGATAACTTGTTAATTTTAGCAACCGTTTTGTCATTTCCATATTTAATTACGTTATGCCTCTGTATAAAAACTCAGCCACTACTTTTCTATGTGTATCCAGAATTTAAAAAATGGTTGTGGTTTTGGTACAACAACCAGTCAAAGAATGGTATGTAGGTAAAACGTTTCTTCTGCGGAAATAAGTTTCTGGTAAAGATCTGGTTATATGTAAAATTTGAGCTGTCTATCTTACAGAATGTAAAAGTCTTTTAAACGGGCCAATTAATGGTCGGATAAACGCATTAAGTTAATGAGCACTTTTTCAAAAATTTTGAAAAAATACTAAAAAGTAGCAAAATATATAAAGCTAATTTTGTTTCGCAAATAAAGGAGTTTTTCTTTCTTGGAAGATGCTTACGCATGAATCCGATTGATGGTCTTGAACACCATAAAATCTTTCAATTTAAGTTTAAATTTTTTGCATAAATTGATTTTTGTTGAAAATATAAGAATTACGTGATTAAAAAAAACGATGTTTTGTTAAAAATATGTTTTGGCGGCATTATTATATTTTGGTATTTTTGGATTTATTATTTTCTTTTAACATATTTAAATTCTAATATAAAAAATATTTACTCAAAAAATGAGACCTAAAACCGAGACGCGGGTGCTAATTTAATTTGTATTGATATTATTAAAATTCAAATTATGTGAAAGACAAAAATAATATTGTAAAATATCAGTTTGTATAAAGTTCTTAAATGATTGTGTAATTTTATTTTACTTTCAGCACGTTTCACATAGACATTAAAGAACAGCAAATTTTTTATGCAGCACATAACGAAACTGTGGTACAAATAAGTCTTTTGTTATTTTACATTAAATTAAACACAATCATTGTATTGGAAATTTTGATAAGAAAATGTGATCAAATAAATACTTTCTTTTCATAAAGAAAATACAAAAAACTTATATTAAATAAAACTAGCTCTTAGGATAAAGTGATGACAATGAAAATGCGATGTGGTCACCACATAGCCGACCGCAATGTATATTGTCCATATTAGTAAAAGTATTTCAGAAGATTATGAAAATGCGTTTTAAATACTTTTTACAATTTTAAGGACACTAATTAGCTTTTAGTTAACATACTTAGAAAAATGTGACTTTATGTCTTAGTGGAGTTTCATTTTGTACCGTCCGAATTATACGCAAAGCTCGTCAGTAACTTCTGCTAACAACCAAAACTCAAATATCAAATTTAAAGATATTCCATCAATCCGTTCCGTAGATATACTAAAAAATCGGCCACCAGATCAATTTCCGATCAGCTTATATGTAGCTGATAAAGCTTATATATGAAATTTCAACTAAATTCAAGGTCCTTTAAAAGGGCCAGTTCCCCAGGCCTGATATATCCCAAAAGTTTATCAAACCGTGACATAATTGAAATAAACTTATATATGTAATAAAATTTCATGAAAATCGGTTCAGCCGAACTTGGGATAGGCGCGTGAACACACAGACCGACAGGTTGCTAAAAGTAGTTTATTTACACTTCAATACTTGTACCATGGAAAAATGCGTCCTCACCGAAAATTCGACATCCAAGTTTCCATCACATACACAAAACTTATATATATAATAAAATTTCATGAAAATCGGTTCAGCCGAACTTGGGATAGGCGCGTGAACACACAGACCGACAGGTTGCTAAAAGTAGTTTATTTACACTTCAATACTCGTACCATGGAAAAATGCGTCCTCACCGAAAATTCGACATCCAAGTTTCCATCACATACACAATGCGGTCGGTATAATAACATTAAATGTTTCACAAGTTGAGAAAACAAAATTTGAAAATATTTATTTTAAAAATATGTAAATAGAAAGTTCTTATGGAATAAAATACGTATAAAATAATTTTTGCAGACCAAGTGTCTGGTTTATTTAGCTGGATGGTTTTGTCCCTGGGTGGCAAGACTTGTGAGATCTGCGTGGCAAATTTTAGAAAAATAAATATTTTGTTATGCAAACGTGCGAGAAGTTTTTATAAGGCAATAAAACTGAAAAATAATTTTGTATAACAATTTCAAATAAAGTTGGGTCAAACAAATGGTTTGTATTGTAACACTTTTCCCTTCTACATAAGTAAAAATTCTGCTTTTAAATACAGTCTATGTATACCTATCACACTATTTAAATTACATATTTTCATTCATATACGAAACTATTTCTAGAATTGCATATATTTAGGATGATGCATATATGCAGTCTTTGAAATAAAGCAAAAATTAATATAAAGTGGGATTAACATAATTCTCGATTTTAAGGTTTAATTGTGTGCGTTAAGAAAAATAATTATATTTTTTAATGCCATGGAATTTACCGTTAGATTTTTGCGTTTATAGAAATTTGATAAAGCTTGCGGTTTCGGAAATATAAGGTGTCAAAAATTCAAATTTTACAAATTTCAAGAGGCGATAACTTGAGAGGGGTGGAGATGGAAAAAAATTTTCTTCTAACGAAATGAACAATTTATTAATGTCTAAAAGCCCCTAAAATTTCAAGCTTCTACAGGCTAAAGTCTAGAAGAAAAACGATATCAAAAATTTGGAAAAAAAGAACTTAAGATAACGGTAAATTTGAACGGCCACTTTGTTTTTCTAAAGTTTAACTATAGTATATCGCGCTTAAAATGCTTATGCTTTCATTGCAATAAATAATTAAAAAAAGGCATTTTTAGGGTTTTGGGGGGGTATAACTTCTAGTGAGGGGGAGATAGGTAAAAATTTTGTTCTACGGAAATAAGCTTCTAGCACTATGTCAACGTATCTATGTACGTATTAAATTTCAGCATTCTATCTTGAAGGGTGTAGAAGTTTTGTAAACAAAAAAAGTGTCCACGGACGGTCGAACGGACGGTGGACAGAGTGAAACTAATAAGCACTTTTTTTCAAAAAATTTTTGGAAAAGTGCTAAAAATTAGCTATAGTCTAATGAATCTAGCTTTATCATCTTTTCAAATATTTAAAATTAACTTTCGGAGTTATATGGCAGCTATCCGAACCAATGTAGCCACTGAAATTTTCAAAATATAATAGAACGTAATTCGATATACCTTTACAAAATTTTATATTAACATCTCTATTAGTTTTTGAAATATTAAGTTGTATGGCAGCTAATAGAACCAGTTGTCCGAATTTGTTCAATTACAATAGCAGCTGTCGTTGGCACAAAAGCAAAAAGTTGTGAGAGTTTGGTGTCGATTGCATTATTCGCTATTGAGTTATCGTGCGATCGGACGGACGGACGGACATGGCTAAACCCACGCAGAATTTTACGCTGAGCACGAATATATATACATGTCCATACCGGACACGACACCCTCATGTGGTTACAAATTCCATACCAAAGCTAATATACCCTTCACGAAGGTGCAGGGTATAAAAAGAAAAAACATACATGTATGATTTTTGTACGAAGCTTGAAATAAACTGTATTATTACAACAACACTTGTATTATTGTAAAAAATTTGGGCTTTCATTAAATTGATTTAAATGCAATTGATAACCTGATTTATTAATACAAATGCAAGTGAATAAAATAATTTTTTCTATATACGTATAAATTTGTACAAAAAAAATTTTAAATTTTTTTCCTAAAAATTTTTCAATAAATAGAATAAAAATATGAAAATATTTATTGCCACGCGTTCCAAAAAAAATCAAAACGTGCCAAATCTGGCACGGGTGCCAATGATTTGTCATCTACGGTTCTATGATAACACACGATGAATTACAACACGGAAATTTATTTTTTAACATCGAATTGATAATAACTCATGTACATAATATGCCTGAAATTATGATTTTAATAAACAAAAATTTTTGATCATTTTTATACCCGTACGAACGTATGTTCGAAGGGTATACTAAATTTGCCTTACCGTTTGTAACGCTAAGAAATAACGGTGTTAGATATAGACTCAAGTGTATGTTTTTGATCAGCGTCAAATTCTGAGTTGATTTAGCTTTGTCTGTCCGTCCGTCCGTCCGTCCGAACGATAACTCAAAAACTAATTGAGCTAAGTTCACCAAATTTTCACAAATAATTTATTGTAGTAAGTGCCAGAACCCTATTTAAATTGGACATGATCGGGGTACCGGTTCGGGTAGCTGCCATACAACTTCAAAATTTATTTGGCTATATCTCAGAAACTATAAAAGTTATGGTATTGAAATTTCACACAAACGAATATATTAGTAGGGCCAATGTGTCAGATAAAAGTCGTTGAAATTACTTGGCTCCTTCTGGTACCTGCCATACAACTTCAAAAGTTATTTGGCTACATCTCAGAAACTATAAAAGCTG